GGGTGGGGGGGGAGGGACGCGCGCGCCGGTGACTTCGTTGAACGCATCCATGCGCAACACTGCTAAATAGAGCAACGACACGACAACACCGAGAAGCAGATGAACATGGGCATTGCCCTCGCCAACGCTACCCACGCCCCCCCCTCACCTGTCCACCTCCGTCGCATTTCCCGGAGCGATGATGTTGTAATAGTACGCCAGCAATCCCTGAATCGTAGCGCCCCCGTAAAAGTAGCCGATGTGGCTGCGGCGCCATCCCGGCCCCACCTTCCAGTCCCCCTGCCGAAACCAAACAACGTGTACATAGTCGCGGGGTCTTGCTACAAAAGGGAGCAAGTCCGCTTAACGGCAACATGGTGGCTTCAAGCGTGCGGTCAACGAGGGAGGGAGGTGAAGATGCAAGAGGCCGAGGAGGAAGGAGCACCCCCCCCCCGGCGCTTCGCGCTTGGTGATGTGAGAGCCAGGTCCGGTGAGAACCTCGGCGTGCTCCGTCCCGGCTTCGTAGGGATGCGAGGTCAATGGTCTAACGACTACGGGATGCACGACTATGAGTACACCCCCCCCCCCGCTCCCCCTCGATGTGACGTGTGTGCGGCACCAAGGTTAACGCCCGCCGGGTGTAGCCTTCGAAGTCGTACTACCCTCTACCGTGCGTACCGAAAGGTTGCGAGTCATCGCACAGGGGTGCGATCGATTTTCAAAGCGTAATTTCTCCACAACCAGCAGGTTAGAATACCACCACTGCTGCTGTCGAAAAAGGCGGTTTTGGGAATATCTCATCGAGAGCTTTCCTGAGAAGTACCAGTTGGCGCTCGCACCCTTCTGGTTGTGGAAAAATTACGCTTTGAAAATCGATCGCACCCCTGTGCGATGACTCGCAACCTTACGGTAGTCGCCGCTTTCGTGCAACCGAAATCGTTCCCGGATGGCCAAGTAACCTCGAGACACGCAGATAGGATGGGAGACGTTTGTGCTAAACAATCCTTCCACACACTACTGGAACCCCCGGTGCGAGGAACCAACACAGGGTGCGCCGTGTCTCTTGAGGCCGTCAAACTTCAGCATGAAGAGCCCAAAAGAAACCATGAATATCCCAAGGGAAATCACGCGGGGGGACTGGTGCCGATTCAGGTCCCCCCAAGCGTGCCAAGCAAACCAATGGGCGCTCCCCTCGCGTAGGAGGCCCGAAAGCTCTTGGTAGCCCCCTAGATCAGGACGGACAAGGAAAAAGCCCCCCTGCCCGGGAAACCCCTGGGACCCTTTCGTTCCCCAGGGCGGGTTCCTTCGGGTCCACTAGGGCTTGCTTTGGTTTCTTTGGGGGGTTTCGTAAAACGAAAAGGAGGGGAGGAGGGGGTTTCGTTTATATGCCCGCCGGTATTCTTGAGCCCCTGGCATGGGTTTACCGGGAGGGATTGGTTTTTCCACCCCCAGGCTGCCAGGCCGCGGGGGGGGGGGGGGGGTCCGATTTTGTTTTGTAGCAAAAGAAATCACTTTCGACTTTTGAAGACAGCTGGGAGGGAGACTAGCGTGAGGTCCTAGCGGACAAGCGTCATATCTCGCTGGGCAAAGTTGCGGTACGTTAGCAGGTCGGGTATGTAAGGGTGGAGACGCCACCAGAGCGCGCAAGCTTTCCTTGGCACTGCTGTTTTGACTAAGCAGAAAGAACCACAAAAGTTTGACGGACAGGCTGTCTATTGCAGTATGGATACGGTATACGGAACTAAAGAGATACCGGCGAGCACGAATAAGAAAGACGGCAACGACAACAGCAGTGCATACCCATCAGCTCGTCCATGGGGTGCAACATGAGCGTGTCCGCGTCCACGTGCATGACGCGGTGGTACTGCGTGAGCGTGTACGCGTGCAGCTTGATGAACTCGTTGGCCCCACAGCACCTTGGATAGAAAAATGAGCCAAGGGGACAAGAAGGAGAAGGTCAACAACAAATAACGGCTCGATGACCAGCACGATGATGACTGCGGCCAGGTAACGAGGAGACGGGGGGATATATAGTGGCATGTTCAAGCACCCAAGTCGCAGAGCACAGCACCTTACCACCCACCGATTATTCAGCAACAGTACATACGAGCAAAAAAAGCGATGCGATGCAGCAGAGGACAACAGCGCATGGCGACTCGACACACCTCACGAAGCAACAATAATAACAGTCTCACAAGGAAAACAGCCGCGTCGCAAACATGACACATCTGTCTTAGGCACGGAGCAAGCGCCCACCGACTACTGCGCACGACGATGGCAGCCACAGCTACAACACCCCCCCCCCGACGCAACACGAAGGACAGGAACCACAAGAGACAGGGAAACAAAAAAATAACACAACCAACAACCCAGGAGTAAGAATAGCATAGACCAAGAAGGACGAAGAAAGAGTCTCACCCGCTCTTTACGACGTGTTTTCGGTATGTCTCGTTCTCGATGTCCTCCACGGCCACCGGCAAGTCCTTCTCCACAACCCTGCGCACCAACGCACACGACACAGGAGAGGGGGAGAGAGAGAGGGGGGGAGAGACCGAGTTGCTCTTCTCGTCGACTCCGGTGATGTGGTCGTATAGCAGCTGTTGCTTGCTCCGCAGCGGGAGCAAATGGCTGTGCGCAAAGGGGTCCCGCAGGTTGCATGACGGAAGATACCACCCCCCCCCCGGGACCGATTCTCAGAGCTCGGGTACTGCACAACGGAAGATGATGCCTACCACATCCTATGGTACGCTTTTTCGGAACCCTCTCGACGCCACGGTTTCAAACGCCGCAATTTTCGGCAGAGTCATTTTTCTTGCTGCAGAGTATTCGGGCTTTGAAAATGGGTCGAAGGGGTGTGCTATCTTACGTCATGCAACCTACGATAGTTCTCGAAGGGGTGTGCTATTTTACGTGATGCAACCTACGATAGTTCTGCAGCGGCGGCGGCGGTGGCGGCACACAGCGCATCGACTGTGCGAACCATGCATGGGCATGCATGAAAGTTGTCTTGTGTCAAGTGGGGCGTGGGTTGAACAAAATGCATGCTAACAATTGAGCCTCGAATTAGTCCTCGAAATGTGTGCCTAGCGTAATCAATCGCGGACGGAGACAACCGCAGTGCGCTATGCATAGCTCACTTTCGAACAACGTACCAATTCCGAGAGTACCCCGCCCATGGCTACGCCGAGAACACTCCGCACAATACTAGGACCGAAAATACCCTCTCACTGGCTAGACGGACAGTACCATGCCCTTGGCTACGCCGAGGCTACCCTGCACAATCCCATTAACAGTGCCGAAGACACCTTGCCCTTTCGTAGGCCGAGAATACTCCGGCCTATTCTGGCCTACGGCAGGAGTAGCCCCCCTAAGTCTAGCCCGGGAGTTTGATGCGACCCTAACCCGCCAAAAAGACAGGAAAGACGCGAGTCAACTTCTTCCTGGCCGGGGTACATGCAGGATAGGCTAACGGACGCACCTCCATCCCATGCCTTCCAAGTGCTGCCGCCCCTCCTGACTGACGGATGGCAAGGTAAACGCCAAGGCTTCGCAGCGGTAGCGGGACAACTTGCAGGCCGCTCGGATCGATTGGATGAGTACCTCCGCAGAGTCGAGCATCCTGTTCATTGTCGATTGGGCCATTCAAACGGCTTTGGTAAGTCGGTCATCGAACGGCTTTGTAAAGCTTGCCCCTGAAGAACGAACGGCCTTGCAAAGTGTTGCCGCGGGACTGCACAGCTGCAACCAAAAGATGCAAAAACATGGTATCCACCAATAAGAAGAATCACGCGGAAGGTACAAATAGGCCCCTCAAGAGTCGAACATCAAACGAAACTTTCGCCTCCTACCTCGTCGGGTTATTTTCGTCGTACTCGTTCTGAAAAAAAAGTCTCCAAAAACTGGGAAAGGTGCTTGCTACATTTAAAATTTACACAAATCAACAGATGGAGCACGAAATAGGCGAGTGGGTGAGTGAGAGAGTCTATATATACTGCTGTATCACTCGATAATAAGCCCTTGAACACCCGGCACGCCACGATTATTCGAGAACGTCCCAGTCCTTCACCTTAACCTTCCCCCCCGTCCGGTCGGCCCCGGTGCTTGGTACTGTGGGCACAATGCTCTGTCCCGTCGAGGACGCGCGGTCAATGGTCTAACCGCTACGGCATGCAAAGCATGAGTGTACGCCCCCCGCCCCTTGGAGTTCTCCCCTTGATTGATACATATCCTCGCTAGGCTTCTTGACATCCTCCCGAACGTCCACGGGAGAGTTCGCCCACGGGTCTTTGGCCGTCCCGGGGGGGAGCGGGGTATCAACGGATGATAAAAAAGGTAGAGAGCTGTTGGGGTCGAACTCGATCGTCAGCACTCAACATCAACCCCTTTGTACACTTCGCATCCCAAAAAAGAAAGCAGGAATCCATGCAGCAGCAGAAAAAAGAACGGGGTAGCTCTTACGTGGATGCGGTGGGTAGCTCCAAGCTGGTGACCGAGATCGCAAACGCTACCACAGGGGCCGACGGTGACGCAGTTTCCTCGGGAACAGGTGGGGTGTCTCTGCGGCATCGAGCGGGCAGCATTACTCAAGAGATCGGCACCTTGTGACGGGGCACATCTTTCGGAGGCGGCGCTTCGAGTTGACATTTACTGAGCGGTGGCGTGGCTACAAAGAAATACAAATCAACCTGAAGGACTACCTATCATCGCACCTCTACGTGACGCAAAGGGGCGTGTTCTTCGTCCATTTCTTCCGTCGACCAGACGACTACCGTAGGTGACAAAAAAAAATATGACACACACACCCTTTGGATCGATTTTCACAGCCCCATTTCTCCGCGACGAACATAGGGTGTGTGAGTCAAACGATACGCTTTCGGAAAGCTCTCGACGAGACGATTCCGACGCAGCAAGGTTCGGCACCGACGCTCTTCTCTGCTGCGGAGAAATCGAGCTTTGAAAATCAGTCCAGGGGGCGTGGTATCCTCCGTCATGCAACCTACGGTAGCCACCTCCCGCCCCCCTGGCGCAAAGTAAGTGTGCGAAGGGCTTTGACAACCTTATTTTGCTTGCGAAGAGAACGCTCAGAAAACCCACTGTCCGAGGTGGTACGAAACATCGACAACTCCAATCCGCATACAACAGCAGTGCTCGCCTACGGTGAAAAAGATCTTCTCCATCACAACCATAGTCTAGACAAGCACCTTGGCGGTAGGAACAACCTCGAAACGCATCAACATGCGGTGATTCGAAACGCATCAACATGCGGTGATTCGACAAGTAAATTTCCGAAAGACAGGGAGGTCAGAATCACAAAGGGCGGTGTTGTAGGTGTGTTTGCTGGACGCATCAGGAACACCACACAGGAGTTGTAGTCCCCACCTTCCCTCTCTGCGGTTGTACATATCTATTTAGGAGGAAATGGAGGGGTCTCCGGCGTGGAGTGTTGCTGGCCTAAAGGCATTGTCCCCCCAAAAAAACTGGAATAATTTAGGGATGCATATACAAGGGGTCTCCGGCGTGGAGTGTCGCTGGCCTAAAGGCATTGTCCCCCCAAAAAACTGGAATAATTTAGGGATGCATATGTAGCCTCCTCCATTGGGAATTATTATTCCGGCGGACAAATTGAAATATTAAGAGTAGGAGATGCATAGTCTATATATACGTAAACTCCATTAATTTGAAATGTTATTCCAGCTCGTATCACTAATTTCCAGAATTTCTTCATTGCAAGGATTCAAACAGACGCTAATAACTCCAGTATCCAGCAGGCGTGCATCCACTCACTGCCGCGAAGACTTGAGGCTCTGACCCACCGGGAAAGAAAGTTCTCATAGATATCTCACCCATTGAGAATAGTCGGGCGGGTGGACTCGTTGTTCGGTCTTGCAATGCTGCTGTACGTCTAACAGATTTCAACGAACCACACTACTTCGTTGCTGTGTGAATCCGATGTGCTGCCAGCGTTTATACTATTGTTGGCGCACCATGGGTGCACACATCTGCGCAGAGGTTGCAAATTTCAAATTTCGACAGATGCAGGCGAACCACCTTTCCGTCACCGCAATATACCATACACGACACAACATAGCACATTGGACCTATTTTCAAAGCTAGATTTATCAACAGAAGAAAGAGTCGCAGCGCCGAAAATGGCGGCGTTAAGCCGTCTGGTCGAGAGCTCTCCGAAAACGTATCGTTTCGTTTATGCATCCTCTTCGTCGTGGAGTACCTAATCGAGCTTTGAAAATCGGTGCAGGGGGTGTGTTATCTTGTACTGCTGTATCGTAAAATATGCGGTAAACGCTCGCGATTCTTCCCCCAACAAAATAATACACTGGGGTTGATGCACAGCTCAGCAGCAGACCCTGTACTACATCGTCCAATAGGAATATGGCCCTCTATATGGCACTCTATTATCGATGGTGGCGACGAAACTCGCCTCGACCCGCAATCAATCATTGGCATCGTCCATCGTTCACGAGTCACCGGTACAGAAACAAATGCGTACAACCACAAGCAGCTACGAATCTCTTTTTTCTTACTAGAACAGCAGTCCTCTGTCTCTGCCTGCGTGGCTGCTGGCGACACCACACGCGTTTTGATCCTCTTCAAACAGCTACTCACTGCTACTGCTGTACTGCTGTATCATACGCGAGCCCTCTCACCTTGGAGCGAACTGCCATTGCCGCCGCAGGAGTACGCTAAAACTGCAGACCACGACGAAGGTCAGGCACGGATAGATCACGCATCCAATCCCGGATCGGACCCCACCGCCCCGCCTCCTCTTGCCGCCATCGTAGTTCCTGATCGGGTGGCCTCTCACCTCTACCATTATTACACCTAGAGCCACGAACACAAGGACGAGCAGCAGTGCGACGAGTCACCGCACCCGACAGCAGCAGCAGACCAGACCAGAGCTAGACGCAGCAGACTCCCCGACAGGGATACAGCAGACAGCAGTAGGCAGGTTGTACTGCGGTACATGTGATGTAAATCTACAACCGCGGAGCCCCCCGGTGGGTTGCCTTGGGTGCGGGCAACGCATAACCTGCAACTGACAAGCAAGAGAGACAGAGCAAGAACAAGGGGAAGGACAAGAAGAGGAAGCTAGGGTTACATTTATCAAATTCACGAGACATGGAGCCTCGACATCCTCGAGATAAGAGGCGACACCGAAACCCCCCCGGCCTTCACTCGAACTACGACAGAGGCAACGGCGGGATGATATCAACAACATCAACATGCCCCTCTGTCGTGTCCAAGAGGGCCAAGACAAGAGCGCTGGTGTTGGCCCTGCTCTACCTCTGCTCCTGTCCGGCAGTCTCGACTGCTGCCGCCGCCCCGGCCCCTCCGCCCCCGCCTCCACCCCCTCCGCCTCCACCGCCACCTCGTGATGCCCCTCGAGGAGGCGGTGCAACCGCGTCAGCAGGGAGCTCTCGAGGTGGGCAAGCGCTACCGAGGTCTAGTCGCGATGGAAGCGCGAAGGACGTTGCCGCGACAGCTTCGGCCGTTGCCGCCGCTGCTGCTGCGGCGGCGGCAGCGACTGACGCGGGGGGCGGGGGGAGCACTGGAGGGGAGTCTACTGCAGGTGAACTGCCACAATATTTGGTTGCTGTCTCCCTTGTTCTTCGTCGAAAGCGGCTTCGCTCGTCTGTACAGTCTAGTCTAGGAGTCTACAGAGGATCAGAGAGCTTTGTCGGCGTGCGGCAGTACCAATGCATTAGTGGAGAAACAAACCCGCGTGTTACACGTGCAATATCTACTCTTCGAGTGTCCACACTGCTTATCATAAGCATTCGTAGAAGCTAACTCCATGTGTAACAGCAGCACGTATATAGACCGGTTTAGACCTCGCTGGGAAGGTCTCTCGGAGACATGCACGCACCTCAACATGGTATAAAGCAGTACTTGGTACATGCACCGCTGTAGCCGGAAAACACCGCGATTTCAAGTCTTGGCAGGGCATACGTGGCTCGGGAGCCCACCATGGAGCGCGGAGAGCTTCAAACGAAAGGCGGCACCGATGGTGTTTGCAGCCAACTGTGAAGACACCACTTTTACATGTTCTCGTCATGTCTACATGTGGTCTCTTGCATTTGGTACCGTCATCTTTACCCCCAGCCCCACGCGTCCGGCGCCCACTCGACTCCTTGTTGTTTGCGTATGAATAATACGGCCTCAACGGCTTGGTCGTTTTCTTGGCAGGGGAAACAACGACCGATCATCTCGACCTTATGGATGGCCATCTTACGGACTCTGAACAAGATCACGGATACTCTCACGAGCGCTACCAACAGCAGCACCAGCACCAGGTGCAGGGGCACCCACGGTCAAGCTGGGTCGATCAGGGAGGCGTCAACGGAGGGAGAGCGAACGGTTACGGCTGGGCGGACCGTGATGATGCCTCCGCGCAATGGAGCAGGGCGGGGAGGGGGGAAGGGAAGGGTTTCGAAGAGAGCTGGAAGGTCGATGGGGAAGGGGGAGAGGGCAGGCCGTGGAAGCACGAGGATCTGAAGCAGCTGCTGCAGGTGCTGGCTGGCTCTCCGTGTGTTCGGAACCAATTGCAGAACCCTTGAGGAAACAAGCACTTGAAAGAAACAAGCACTTACGCCTGTATGAAGACGTGAATGGTGCCTGGAAATAATGGCCGTAGGCGAGCAAGGTGCCTGGCGCTTCACTCTGCCGTGCTTTCGACGTCGTTAGAGTAGGTCTACAGACGACAGGGTACATGACGCTTGCGACAAGAGCGCGGTACGTGAGCGTGTGCAACACCCGTCCGAGCGCAAGAGTACCCTGTCAATACGCGGCAAAGCAGTAGTGGGTTCGCTTATGTAGTGAACGTGTAGCCAGACCTGGAGGAAGATTTTTTTTCAACATTCTTGCCGATGCTTCTCCGGTCCCCGCTCCCCTCTTGAACCACATGACACGACGACGACTTTGTCTGGAAGGATCTCGAAGACACGGAGATAGCCGGAGCTGGCGGTGCAAAGAGGGGGCGGGGACGCAGACGGTACCGGCCGCCACCCCCCCCCCGCCCCGGAGCAAGAGGCGGGGAAGGTGGTCTTCCCGGTGAAACGGACGAAACCGATGAAACCGAAGACGGAGTGCCGAGGAGTCGACCTGGGGCGGGGTGGGGAACGCCACCTAACCAAGGTTCGCTCGCTGCGTTCAGAAGTCCTACTGCTGTTTTTGGCGAACTGTCGACGTTGCTCATCTGCTGTTACCACATGACATCTCTTTGATCTTGGATCCATGTGGAGACATTCGGTCTGTTTGATATGTGGATGTGGCTCAACCGGTGTGCAAGGCATGTATCATACGGTGGCTATCCCCCGTTCCAACCGGAACCTGTTGAACGAAGGCGTCGACCCCACGTTGTAGAACCCTTGGCAGAAAAATTCTCACGTCCTTCCTTCTTCTTCTTCTTCTCCTCCTCCTCCTGCTCCTCCTCCCCATCCCCCCGCCCCCGCCCCCCTGTTTGGTACTCCCGGTGGTGGCGGCGGGAAAAAGGTGGCCAGAGGGATGGAGAAGGCGACGGCGTCGTCGAAAGGCGTGATCAGACAAGCAGCACGGGATCGGAACCGAGAACCACGGCACAAGGAGGAGGAGGAGGAGGAGGAGAAGAGGACGGGGGGGGCAGAGGGCGGGATCAGGGGCTAACGTTGGGTCCCCCGCCGCGATTCCCCGGGACGGGGGCGGGATCGGCAGGCAATGCCGCTTCGGGTGAACCGGATGCTAGCTTGACTCCAGGGTCCGGATCGCCTTCCCAAAGCGATCAAGGCAGCGGTGAGATACAGAGGCCGATATGACGGAGTTGCATCGGTGTTATCGGGGGTGTCGCTTAAGAGGGGGGGGGGGGGCTCCGCGGAGGTTGTTGTAGCTCGACGCGTTGCATTGTGTGACATGTATATCTTTCAATACAACAGGCAGCTTGATTCTTTCGCCAAACGCGGTGTGATGTGCAGACCCGAATCGTGTTTCTCGGCTTTCCAAAGTTTCAGCTTCGACTTGATATATTTGGATTGATCCCTCGGCATCAACTGCTGTCGGGTCGCAATTTGTCAACAGCGCCGCCTCAGTTTGCGAAGAGGCGCGTGCGCGTGACGTGGGAGGCGGAGGGATGGGGCGAAGGCGAGCAAAACGCGGCGCAATTGGACTCGGACGTCACGGACGCGGGGCAAGCGACGTCGTTTCGGAGCAACGACCAGTACGACGACAACTACTACTACGGCTCTGTCGCGGACACACACGCCGCTGAATCGCAGCAGGTGATGTACTATACCAGATCATCAGGACCTACGTTCAAGTTTCACCGCACGTGTGTCGTTTGCAGTGGGCGTTGTCAAAAAATTTTTGTGTGAAGGTATGTTGCCGGCGTGAAAGCCACGGCAGTGAGGATAGAGAGGTTTCTCGGCACCCCTTTTTTTTGCTGGCCAGACGTTCCAGCGACTCGGCTGTGAACATGCGAATCTCGTGTCATCGCCTTGCCCACTCGACACCGGCTCGTACATGTCGCACGTCTCACGCGCTCCCGTTCGCTACGTTTTTCCATTATTGATCTCTCGAGTTGCCAACCTCGCCCTCTAAACCCGACACAGAGTACACTGCGCATGCTTGACAACTTGCCCTTGTGCATAGAAATTTTACGTCTTCTTTTGTGCTTCCCTCTCCCCCCCCCCCTCCCCCCCTCTCTCTGTCTCTCTGTCTCTCTCCCTTCCTCCCTCCCTCTCTCTCTATATATAAATATATCAATGTGCCTCTTTCTCATCTCTCTTTATCTCTCTCTATCTCTCCCATCTCTCTCTCTCTCCCTCCCTCTCTCTCTCTCTCTCTCTCTCTCTCTCTCTCTCTCTCTGTCTCTCTCTCTCTCTCTGTCTCTCTCTCTCTGTCTCTCTCTCTCTCTCTGTCTCTCTCTCGTCTCTCTTTTCTATCTCTCTATTTTTGTTGGCAGCACTACCACGAGGGCCTGGTCGGGTCCCTTTTGCAGAGCGGAGACTTCAGCGACACCGGGTCGGCCGGCACTTGGACAGACGCTGACACGGAGGAGTTCGTCGTGGGACACAACCACGGGCGCTTGGAGCACCTCACGGCCTACGGGTGGGTACCCCCCTGAAGTTACAGAAGTACAACCCGGTGGTGCTTGCAACATCAGAGGTGTATGTGGGGAGGAGATCCAGATTCATTAAAACGTACCGTTGTACGGGATGGGTTTCCCACATGTTTGCACGGGTAGTGATGGTGGAGACTCAAGCATCCCCGCCGATCCAACACAGCTGTCTTCACCTCTCCCGTCTTCGTACGTACGATGCTCTGGCAGCGGACTGGTACACCCCGTGGTTGGTAGTCGTAGTAGACGGAGTTCCATCTAGGCGGCGTCATCACTGTGCCACCCCCACCCCCACCCCCCCACTGTGAGGGTCTTTCCACCTTGACGTTAGACACCATCAATGATTTTCAAATATTTGGAAGCAATCTTTTTACCATGGTATGTTCTTGTGTGTCCTCCCCCACCCCCGTTATTGTGCGAAACGCCCCGTTTCCGTTGTAAACATGCAGGTACCATCAGCGTTACTCGCACGCTATGGTGGGATCGAGGGTTGGGGGTAGGGTGCCGGGTCGCAGGCTGGTGATGCCGCCCGGAGCACCGATCGGACGGACGGGGTCGTCCGCCCCGCTTGGCGCGAGCACGCCTGTTCTCGATCTAGACTACAGCGCAAAGGTAGGCAGACCAAGGTGTTTGGTGTCTGTGTTCCGTCCTTTGATTAGTTGTGTTTCTTTTTCCTTGCTATCTCAACCCACCCGCCCCCATAGAGAATGCGTTAACTACTAACTATAAATACTACCCCATTTCAACAACCAAAGGGTGATGAATTGGTCACTATTGTGGTACTTGAGTAATCATTGACGTGCGAACATGTCGCTCGCTGTTTGCTGTTTGTTGACGAAGCACGCCAGTGAGACGCGGCCGTCCGCTTGCGGTGCGTTCCATGCAGCCATTACTGCCTTGCCTCGTTCCGGGTTGTCGCTGTCGCTTGCAACCCACGCGTGCTAAGGTTAAGGATGATGGTTTGTCGGGAGTGTGACACCGAAATTTGGTTTTCCATCTTCTGCCACAGCGAAAGTCGTAAAAGGTGGATCGGATGATGCACCTGGGTGGTGTGGTTCCGTGATTGGCACCTCTCCGCTGGTGGTGAGTAGATGGATAGATTGATCGATAGATTGGTGTACCGCAGTGTCATTTGTTCCGTTTTTTTCGACCCACATGTTTCGTGTGTATGTTTCAGGTGCTTGACTACGGCCGAAGGGACGGGACTGGCCCTCCCAAGACTCTCACACTCAGGTATGTGTGTGCTTTTGGGGTGCTTGTATGTCTACCTGTCTGCTTACCTGCCTGTCTGACTCTCTCTCTCATCTCCCTCTTTCTCTGCCTCTCTCTCTGTCTATCTGTCTGTCTGTCTCTCTCTCTCTCCGTTTCTCCTTTCTCTCTCTCGCCTTCTCCCACCTTTCTCTCTCTTTCTGTGTCTCTGCCTCCCTCGAAAGTTATGACGGCAGGTGGGCCGGGGGAGGGGGTTGCTTTAGCAGAGACATGTAAAGCACAAAAAATACATCCTACACGTCCTTGGCTATATTTATTTTCGATAGTCTTTGTTTGGCACACGACGAGTCTACAACGAGAACCCAAACGATATATTGTAATGAGTACTTTTTCTCAGGCCCTTAATTTTCATATCTGCGTTGACGTATTCTCCGGAAGGTGTCCCCCGGAATGTTTTGACTGTTTTGTGACCTGCGGTGTAGACCCACCGAACGCAACTTTTTTTTTTTGTCTGTGTCGTACACACCGCGCGTGGAAATTAATTTTGTTTGTGGCTTTTGTAGCGATCCCGGTGTCCAAGGGCAATAGAAGCGCTTTGAACATATTCCAACCGACCGCGCCTCTGCGACATGTAATGCGTTTCTTTGTCAGCCTCAAAAGAAAAGCAGTTGGGAAGCGCTTCCATACCCACCCCGCACGGCACAGCAGCAAGCACACGCACGTACTCCTGTAGTTGTTGTTTCTATAGTCCGCGTTCGTCATCTTGTAAAAATGCTTCCGCTCGCAGTTAACACATTATATAACCCACGGGCCTTGTGTCTCTCAATTTATCGTCACACAGGAACAGCTCCTCCGCTCTGTGCATGCCTCCCTCCACTTTTCCCTCGAATACGAGGCGCTCTTGTTTGTCATGCTCCTCTCCCGTCGTCACGTTCAAACGCGTTCGGTGTTGTTTTCGCCAGGTCATGGTCGCGGATCATGGGTGCGGCAGGCATAGCCACGGCAGGCGCCTTCCTGGCGGTGTCTCCCAACAACGCGCCTCGAGACCTCTACCTCGCGCTCTTTCGGCGCAACCTCGGTTTGATCGTGAGTTGTTTCAGCCTTTTCGAGGGCACCGACCCCTAGACTCTCTACGGCACCTCTTCTTGGCGTCGTTTGCGCCACCTGGTACAGTCGGGGTCCCGGTTTAGCGCTTCCCTATTTAGCGGGGTGCCCTCAATAGCGGTTACACAAATTTGTGACACTATGGACCGCTCAACCGGGACCAGGACTGTATGTATAGCAGTGGCATATTTGTAGCAGTGGTTTACAATTGGTGACAAACCCTTCGAGACCCGAGGCTTGATCGCGGTGGGCCAATTCCGAAATCGAAGCTTTCGGATCGTGTTCTCAGCTTTTGCCGGTCCGAAGTTTGGCCATCGTTCGTTTCGGGCTCTGCCCGATAAAGTTTTTAGAAAGTACGATAAAGTTTTGCTTGTTGCCTTCAACACGGCGCCTCGCGACGCGATGTTGGCTGTGTTCGGGGCCATCTCGGCTTCACCGTGACTTCGATTGATGGAGTTTGATGAAGAGTGTGTTTGGGCTTTTGGGGAGGAATCTCACTGTGACTGTGATTTCACGTGTGTTCGGGTTGTCTTGTGCGATGTCGTTTTTGTGCAGGGAGTGGTCCGTAATTTGCGCGTTGTTTTGCTAGCGTTGAAACAGCAACCGGGCGCCACTAGTCGCTCTCGCCAGGTAAACACTTACACCACGCCTGTCTCCGCACGAAGAGTCCACCCACACGGTGCGGAGCAGCACGAGGCATATTTGTGTTCATGTCGCTTGCACCGATCGTTTTCGGCCTTGCACTCTGGTCCGTTTCGCAACACGCGACGACAGGCGGCCTCCCTCGTGGGCCCCGCGGTCTACTCGTTCCTCCTTTACGACGGCAGCAAGGCCAACATCAACACCTACGTTAGGGTCGTGACGTTCGCCTTCACGTGGGGGTATCTCATCTCCTTCGCACTAGAGATAGTAGCGGTGAGAGAGAGGCCTACCGTGGGTGACATGACGGAAGACAACACACACCCTCCTGGACTGTTTTTTTTTTTTTTAATGCTGATTTTCAAAGAGTGGTGATGGTGCCGAACATACCTGCGTTGGAATGAACCGTCTCGCCGAGAGGTTTTCCGAAAACGTATCGTTTGAGTTACGCATCCTCTTCGTCGTGGAGTAGCGGAGCGGTGACAAATCGAGGTGTGTGTGTGTGACATCTTGTGGCACCCGCGGTGCTGAAGACAGACGAAGGAGATACACGCGGCGACGATGACGCTTGTACAGCAGTACTGTAGTCCAAAAGAGTGTGGTGGTAGCGTGTGGCGAGAGCGGCACGTGCTATGGGTGTGGTGGTAGCGTACAGCACCATCGCTTGGCCGTTGTAGCGACAGCCGGGCATGTTGGAAGAGCGCACCACACTCCGAACGTGTGTACTGTATCTTCCCGAAAGCAGCCATAATATTGAACTCACGCTTGCCATCGTGGACGTGAAATTTCAGGAGGTACTTAGAATTAGCGAACAGGAGGATGATTTTGTGTATTTTGCTCATGTACGCTAGGACAACACACACACCCTTGATCGGTTGGGTAGACAAGGTGCGCGTGTTGAAGAAGGGGGGCTTTGAAAATATTTGATCGGATCGAGATATCAAAGATCAAATACGCTATGCATACATCGTTGTTGGAAGCCCTTTTATTATTGGTGTCGAGGTACCGAGCTTCGAAAGCCTTCCTTGAGGGATGCGGAGGAATATGATACCCGCCGGTATAATTACGTGGTAGCAGTCAACGTCCTCCTTCGGCTGCTGTCGGTGCATATGCGGAAGTCATGCCATCCCATTGCATTTGCACGCTTGTTGTCGTCCGTGTTGTACTGCTGTTGCACTTCCGCAGGCGACGTCCTTCCAACTGTGCGTCTTGGCGGTGATGGAGCCCAAGGCGTTCGACCTCACGCCGCACGTGCCCGCCATTTTCCTTCCCTGGGTCCTGAGGTGAGAGCTGCAAATTGTTGCGTATAGATAGCGCACCCACTTTAAGAAGCTCTATTGTAGTATTCGCCTAGTCTGTTTTTTTTCTACTTCTTCTTGTGGGTTGCAATTGGCCGCTGTACAGGTTTTTGTGTAGCCGAGCTCGCAACTTGTGCTCAAGTCCTTAGTTTTGATAGAAGGTTGAGCATAAGAACCTGAAGTGCGGGCGCTTGCCTGTGCAGCAGCAGAAGTCATCTTTGACGCGGGATACCTGTTGTCTGTCTGAGTTTATGCCATCGCCTCCCTCATATTGCTATCCACTGAAGCGTGACCAGACACGAATGGGTCCGTTCCAAGGGATAGAGAGAGAGATAGAGAGAGAGATTTTAGAGACGCGCATCCCTCTGCAGCTCCGTACGGCCATTTTTTTTCTGGCCGCCATCCGATGAAGGAGTTTGTTCTCGGAACAGACGTACGGTTGTGTCTTGTGTGTGTACGACTTGCTTTGGTGTTTGTTGATTTCTATTGAGACCCTGCTATTGAGACCCTGCTGCAGATTGGTTATCAGAAAACGCTGCTTTTGAGCAACCCGCAGGATTGACATCCTTGTAGCGGCATGCTTCTTTTCGCAGTGCACCCCTTCTAGGCTGCTGACACGTCTCGAACGAAGCCAGTTCCGAGGAGGGCTATCGCAAAAAGTACCGCCCATTGATCTTGAAACCCGTGGTGCTCTTTTTTATCTTTTGGTCGGTTTCGCTTGCCTATGGTAAAGAAGTCGTGTTTCCGACACGTTGTCGTTGATTGCTGCTGTTATTGCCGTTTCGTACACGCAGAGAGCATGGGTACGTGCCATCTTCCCTATTTTCCTGCGTAGCGGATCTGCTGTCGTTCTGCGTCGGAGCGCCTATTGTGGAGTGCGCTATGATGGTAAGCTCGGCGGGAAAACGACTGTTCATCGTATATATGTACGCATGTGGATTTTGAGCGGTAGTCGTGTACTTTCGTGCTTTCACACTGTACCATGTTTTTTCTTTCTTGGCGAGGGACACATGGTGGCCAAGAGACATCGCTGCGCGTCGAGATTTCGAGCGCGCCCACCGCTAATGTGGGGTGGTCGCAAGACGTACAGTGTCGTCGAGTGAGGTGCCGTGTTCGCCATAATCGGTCACCCTCTGAACATCACGCCGTATCCGTTTCTCTTCGTTGGAATCCCGCCAATGTTGTGGTCGGGGGGGGCTGACATGGAATCTCCCACTCCCCTTTTGGTTGTCTGCAGCTGCCGGGCTTGGCTCTGTACTTGGCATGTTTTCCCTTCGCGCTCGCCCCCGGACCCGCTCACCCGGAGCCCGCCGATCTTATCGTGTCTTGTCAGGTGTGGATTGTGCGTCGGCTTGGGGCACTGCCGAAGCGGGTCGCCTCGCCCCTCCCTACAGCAGAGGAAGAGGCCACAGACCCAGCACGGGTCGGCCTCCGCAAGACCGGCGGCAAGAGCAACAATTCCGACACTGAGTACAACACCAACGCCGACACGGAAACGGCACCCTTCGGGGGGGACTACGGCGGAAAAAGGGGC